CACACACACACACACACACACACACACACACACACACACACACACACTACTACCTTAAAAAAAGCTTATGCTATTTTGATTGAGTCATAGTTCAGCTAAATTCCAGTCTAATAATAATCTGTTAGATGACAAGATAGAGACCCGGAGCTCGTCATGCCTCGCTACAGAGACGACTTTCTTTACGAGTGTCAAAGCACGACGAGGAACAAAGAGAGAGGAGAGATGAATACTTCTATGTTCTTAGGTTGACAAAACTCATTTCCACTCCGTCGTTGCAATGTGCCTGTGACATCAGTCCAAGTCAAAGTGTGCTTACTAACAAAAACAAGAACCTCCCGGCATCCAGTGCTATAAACTAACAAGCAGCTATTGTGGGACAAAATGCATGACATAGATTACAGACATGGAGGCTGCAGGACATAAAGCACATAGACTGCATTTAAGAAGCGGACGTAGTCGCAGTGACGCCACCCTTTGGTTTGTGGACTGCCCTTTGGAAGCCTCAAGTTCGCCATCTTGGATTTTGACTTTTTGCAACCAGTGAACGGAAGTGGCCATATTTGGAGTGATTGGAATGGACGGATTGTCTATTTATAACATCATGCTGTATGGACAAAGACTTAAGACCATAAACTCATGTTTACAATGTTTACTGAGGGAATAAATCAAGTGAGAAGTAGAGTCATTTTCTCAAAGACAATCTGACTTCTTTTTGCAACCAGAAACACAAATATATGCATATGGATGTGTATTCATTTGGGCAGCTGCAGGTTTTAAGAAGACAAGCGTTTCACAGCTACAGTATGTAGAATTTACGACAAATCAAATAAGATTATTTATTCACTTTTTAAAGATGTTTTTCTACAGAGCCATCTCAAACTTTCTGAGTCTTCAAACAGTTGTGACTGAATGCCAAAGCAGACATACTGTAACCATACAAAGGCAGAATGGGCTTTGACGAACAGATGCCACAATAAGGCACACTACCATCTCCATGGAGACTCACGAAGGTGTCCAACTTCTAGCTCGTTAAATAGAAAGAAATAAAGAGTAATAGTGGTATAACGGGTAGGAGGCGGACATTAAGTCGAGGATCAAAGATAGAAACAACAAGTACAAAAGCATGAACCTAAAACATTCACCGTGTGAATGAAAAGGGTTAAAGTAGTATTAGACATTGATGTCCATATGTGTTGATTACATACTCTACTGCAGCAGTGTGATCAGAAGCCCATTCCTGAATGTTGTTTTTCTGAGATGTGTATTGCTCCACGTGCTCATCAGGTCTGTGAGGAGCAGAACGTACGAGCCCTTCCTTTAACGTCCCTTCAGTGAGCACACTGGTGTTCATGCGTCCAAATGGCCAATAAGCGTCCGATTTGCAGATCTCTATGTGCGTGTTAAGTAACATATGATAGTGTCTCCCTCTCCACATCTCATCAGCCCACTGCATAAAATCATCATTTAACCGAAGCTGACGGACGACGCACACCACGCCGGTGCCTGCTGCTTCTGCTGGAGCTTGAAGAAATAGTGAAATGGGAAGAAAAGTCAACAATGCAGAAAGCTATCCAAATAAATAATATTTATGACTGGAGGTAATATTATGATATGTGTGTGTGTGTGTGTGTGGCACTGCTCAATCCTCAAATCTACCGCCCCCATCAATCCATATATACATTAAGAACTCTGTCATGTTAGCCTCTATAGTTCCACTGGGAATAAACGGTGGTGGTGGGAGGGGCTCAAAATGAGTAGACTACTCAGAACACATGCCAAATGATATTTGTAGGGTCGTATATTGATTGCCACAAAATGGACCCTTGGTGCTCTTAAGCCTGTCGGGGGGGGGGGGGGGGGGGTATGGATTACATCAAAGCCCTGATCAATTCATCTTTTTTAAAGAGAGGCAATGAAAGACAGATAAATGACGAGAGGACAAAGGACCTAAAAATGAGAAACAGTTGAAGAAAAAGGATAAAAGAAAAGATAATCAGTGAGACGCAAAGACAAGATGCACTGAGTGCAATGAAAATGAAGATTAAAACACAAAAATACCAAAATTAAAGAAGCCTTTAAATATAATTTAATTCTATGCTATTATATTTCACTTCGATGTGAAACCTCATCTTCCCAGTTTTAAATTGAAGCAGACCTGTCATGAAACCAGAAATGTGGTGAAAATGCTCCATTGTGTGAGGATGCATGCTGTCTGTATCCAGTGGCACATTAGGATGAATATCAACGACCGTCGAGGGACAAATGGAGACACTATTACGTCCTTATACATACATGGAGGCATTCCAAGATTAATAGTTTTCTACTAGATTTGGCAAAATGCAGTGTCAGCTTTAGATCACCTGGTAATCCCCACCACCAGGCTTCACTGCAGCACTAATACTATGGGCCTCTCTCTTTTCCCAGTTTGTCCAACCTCAATTCCTTTCCTCGTCTCCTCTCCTCACGTCTTATTCTTATTCCCCCCATGGGAGATGCGAGCAGAGGAGGTCGAGGAACAGATACAAGGAGAGAGTAGTCGAGGCAACAGGCATTTAACAAAATGAGACATCCTGTGAGCGACGTCAGGAAAAGCACGGGGCTTAGTAGTAACTTAAAGGCTTCCTTTTTGGGGTTACTAATACCATTAAAGGCTTCCTTCTAATCAAATGTCCCAGTAAGCCCTAACGGTGTGACAGTGAGCCAGCATGAACAATACCACGACCCTGGAACTGAAGCAGCTAAATGGAATTCAGCCATGATTCATTTGACTATTCACACCTGTGCTTTTCTTACTCAGCCAGGTCTAAATATCCTCTGTGAGGTATGCCCGCTTCTGACTTCTTCAAAATCACACAGCCCAACTAATGTATATGATGTCAAGTGTTGGACACTTGACATTTCTCTCAAGATTCTAGCCGTGATAACAATTACAGCGGCTGTTCGAGTCACGGTAAGTGTGCCACTCGAAAAAAAAACCTTTAATCAGCGGCGATGCTTCATTGTGAGCAGTGGTGCTCATCGGCACTACTACACCAATGCTTCGGACTCTGTAGGAGTCCTCCTTGGATTGAAGTGTGAAACCTCATGTGAGCTAGTAGTCAACAGTGATGGAGGGAGAGAGAGAGAGAGAGAGAGAGAGAGAGAGAGAGAGAGAGAGAGAGAGAGAAGCAGAAACAATGAGCAGGAGACGGAGAGAGAGAAACAAGTGGTTGGAGTCGGAGGCAGAACATAAGACAGCGATAGAGGCCTAAAGCCTGACCTTCTCACACCGACAGTGAGAGTCTCCAGAGCTCCGTTACCTCTAATCTACCATGACAGTCACACATTACTACTAATCTCTGCTGACAGGCGACCACGCTGAAACAGACTAAACTTCCTGTCTTAACAGTGTCTGGATCATACAGCTTCACTCAGGAAGGTTGTACAAGCCCAAATGTCAATTATGTTCAAAGCTAGTAGTATAGATGCAAGATACACACTTTCTGCTGTAGTAGACATGCTACGTGAAGTTAGATTTATTTCAAGAAGGGCGTCGGGAAATAGGAATAATCGGCTGTACCAAATTGTGATTTTTGATTCGGCGTGGGAGTCCTTGAGCTCAGTAGACCGCATCACATCCTTCAGGCTGACTGAGAAATTCAAACAGTATCATCAAAAACAACAAGTAAAGAAACTTAGCTGATATCCTACTTACGATAGATGGATGAGCTTTATCACACTTGATTTGGCCCATTAATGACATTCTGAAAACAACCTTGATAGATCTGTGTTTAAATGTCAAGTGTTCATCGAGATGGATGGTGCCAAGTCTACGGACTGTGCAGCAAAGCTCATCCAGAATCTACGATTCATAACTAAGTGGAGTCTGTCATTACCCGACGGAAAAGTGACGCCTTTTTGTTTTAGCGAACTGTAGGTACACCCGATTCATCACCCGGCCGGTTTGTTATGTCGACGCAGAATTACATTTGGACAAGTTTACGGTGACAGCTGTAAGCCATCTCACGCTCACATCTACAATACCTCGACTGGACGGCCACTTGACTTGACATAAGACAGAAAGAGATGAAGGAAGGGAGACAAAGAGGAGCTAGGAGAAGAGGGGGGGGGGGGGTCTATTCCACATTACAGTAAGCAGACGCAGACATCAGAGTTCGTCCCGCCGCCTGACATTACACATACACTTCCTGTCCTCTCTTTCCTCCGCTTCTCCTCATCCGACTCTCTTTCATCCTCATCTTACTCTGCATGTCAGAGACATGTCAGCTGTCATCTTGTTTTAATCACTGTCCTGCAGAACATGCCCATAACGTCCTGACCTTTATCTGCACTGTAATTCAAAGTTAACATCATTCCAATTGTCGAGGATAGGGTAATAACAAGAATATACCGCACCCAATAAGCCATAACCCCATGGTAAACATGTACTTTATTATTTCCTTCTTCCCTTTATGTTTCAATTTACAGATTATTAATTGTATCCATCCCTCCAGACTGGTGTCTTGGGACTTGATTCCTACGAGTCACCGACGCTGCCTTGCAGTCTACCTCCACATCACGTTTCAGTCCCTATGAACCTGTTTCTTGTCTAACATCAGTGGTGCCATTGACCCGTCTATGCACTGACCTACAGCTTACATCTCTAAAGGTAAAACCAGAGGTTTCCCGAAGGACTTTTTTGATTCTTTGTTGAGTCAGAGGAGCTCTTTGAAAAAGCATTTAGACCATGTGTCAGTAAGCCAGAGTCCCAGAAGCACAGTGGGGATTTCTAAGCACAACTACACCTCATATCAAAGCAAAAATCAGAAGAATATTAAGTACAACGTTATTGTTTTTATACTGCACGTGTAGCTAGAATACTTATCTCTGCATTACAGAGTACCAGCCGAGTCAGCAATGGGAAGTACTGGAAATACTTGGAGTATTTGGTTGCTCACACACAGAGCGGTCATGGTTTGCCAGAGATAACAAGGACTGGCTTGTCGTCATAAGAAAAATACATTGTCTAAAATGGACAAATGTGATGTGATGACAACTGCAAAAGCCTAACTGATGTTAAGCTCATTGTTCTTCCTCTGGAGAGCCAGTACATTATATCTTTGAGCACAGTACTGTAGCTGGAGTGAATACAGTTTATATTACACCTCAGGTGAGGCAAATATCGTCATGCTTGTACAATTTGTAAAACTCTTTAAATAACCTTAAGTATACAAATCTCCCGTGAATGAACATTAAGTACTAAAAGTAAAGTATATACAAAGCATGTAGCAATGAAGAAGAGCAACCAAATGTCAACCACTCAAATCTCTAAATCTAGCTCTGAATTGTCAAACATCACTCCCAACATGTGTAGATCTTAAAAACATAAAGATTGTCTTTGATTTGATGTTCGGGCCGTGGGTTAAATGCCACGTCAAGGTCTGAGTGAGTCACTACCAAAACAAACGCGCAGTAAATAAATGAACAATGACTCACTGGTCTTGAGGGCCGAGGAGTTGACTTCAATCTCTCCCCCCGCGACGGGCTGGAAGACGGAGAGCTCAGACTGGTGGAGGTCGGGGCTGGGGGCCGGCCTCGTGTTGGCCACGCCCCTCTGCTGGGCTTCCTGCTCCTCATACACAGCCATCAGCTAAAAGGTGACGAAAAGAAAAACACACAATGTCGCTGGTTATCCATTATGAACACAGCATTTGATCAGAGAGGAGCAGCAGGAACTCCACTCACAATCACTCCAGCTTTTTCTATGTGCTGCTCTCCACTTACACTGAAAGTAAAGCCCCTCCAATACGCTTAATTCACTGCAATCCAAATGCATGCATACAGTACAATGCAAAGATACATTTTGAGCTAAAAAGAATGCACACAAAGAAATTGAACCAAGAAAAAATTCACAACACTGATTAGAAATTTCGTGTGCCTTTGTTTTGAACACGATTTCTGCGTTACCTTGTGGATGAGGACGCTATAGAGGACGTCCAAGGAACCCAGCATTCCTACGACAGAGTGTATGTGTCCACTGTGTCTCCCCCCTCTGCCCTGCTAGCACTAACTGCGTTATATAGAGGAATCCCTGTCTATTGAGTATTGCACTGAGTCTGCGTTTAGCCTAACATAGCACAGAGCTTGTCAACACGGTGTTCTAGGGGCCTCCACGCAAAAAAAACCTGAATAGACCTGTGAGTGTGTGTGTGTGTGTGTGTGCGCGCTTCATGTCTATAGTGGCCAAGAGTACAGAAAGGGGACTTTGCCAGTAAAGCCAGAGGCTTCCTGCTACATCGGAACCCATAAGTGTGCAACGTACTCTCTCACTCATACGGACATGAGCACACACATGCACGCTACAGACGCCTAAACCATATGAGAGTGTGCAAACTAGTGTATATACACACACACACACACACACACACACACACACACACACACACACACA